AACGACGAGAGATGCAGTGCTTGCAGGTGCGCGTCTGTCTGTGTGATTCGGCGAAACTTGGATGCAACAAACGAATGCTCCGCTGATTGCGACGCTTTCAGCGCCGACGTCTACTTAGCGACTCTGCGAACTGTCTACGTACAAACGGGATTATTATTTCCAAAAAATTAAACGAAACGTTGGCTCAATCTCCATTATTTGTCATAATTATTAATCTCTTTTATATTACCTCAATTTGCATTCTCTATTAATTAAAAGAATTATAGCTTTATGTTAGTGGGATGTAAAGATCGATTCGACGATGGCTAATGTTGCATATATTTATGTGTGTATATATGTGCGTAAATTTAAAAAATGTTTCAGCGCATGCGATATGTCGTCCACATTATATATCCTCTCGCAAAAAATTATTATTCAATACCAACATCTTTGCGTGACTCTTATTGTCCGAGAATGAATTCTTAGTGATTATTATTGCCGATAGAATCATCGAGCGTCTCTTTCGCGAGCAGCTTTGTCCGAAATTCACGTCTTCGTGCGTTTCGTGCGGCCGATGCGGCCTCGTCCAATTCACGAGCTTTGATTCCAAATTGCTCAATAACGCGGAAAAATAACGGAAACGACGAACGAGGTTTTTCCGTGAATATTACGGAAATTTTCGAACGAGTTCGCACTGCACAGTTCGCTATTGTCGCTGCGTATTTCGCGATATGCGGCAGGAATAATACATATGTTGTCCGCCGCGAAATGGACAAGAACTTTATCACCCTGCATTAAAAGTTTCTGAAATATGGGCGGCGAACACTTCGCGGAGTTAAACTGGCAAATAAAGTTGGCTTATAAAAATTTCATGTCATTTTCTATCCACGTGCGCTCACGCGACGCGCTATTTCGAAATTTCCTGTAATCATCCCTCCCTCCCCCGAGGAAGCGCAGAACTGTATATTGGGGGCAAGAGCTTCGAGAATTCTTCAGATATAAGATAACGCCTAAGCCTCACATTCTCGAAGATATACGAAATATAGCGGGCTATATCTCGAGACGGATATATAGAAATTGTTATATGTATCGAGAATGTGCATCGGACACATCGGGCGCCGCCTCCTTACCCCCGAAAACCTCTCTTGCACTTCGGACGTTTTTCCCCTTATACACGGGAGACACCTATACGGAGTCGTAAAATATTAAATAGACGTCGTCGTGCACGCGCGGCGGGCAAAATACTTATACGACAGGGCCGATGTGGAAAAATGTACCGCGCCACTAAAAGCAAACGACTCGGAAGGAAGCGCCATTCGTTGTTCCGAATCGACATATGAAAATATCGCGCCATCGGAGGTCGTCCCTCCTCGACGACACATCGGCGACGTCGTAAAGTATCGATAAACCATCGCGCGCGACGCGAAGGTCAAAATCTCTGTGGCATTCTCCCACACACGCAACACCGTCGTATATATATATATATATATATGTAATCCACGTTTGGAAGATTCAATTTGTCGATACACATCTGTACATTATTATGTATCAATCATGCTGTATACTAAGCGGGATCCCGAAGCAAGTAAATATCTAATTTACTCTACCTTCTCTTTTATTTATATTTTTGTATATTTTGCAGGATGACTTTAGGACCGTATATTTTGCAGGATGACTTTAGGATCCACATTAAACCACCTAGATTATCCGCAGCACCTTAGGACTGTTTCTTTTCTCTTTGTTAATTTGCAATCTTTCTGCTTCTTTCCTTTAACTATTTTCGTTACTCTATCTATTATAAGTACTTTATATTATATCTGTCGTTCTGTAATTGAAAAAGGTTTCTAGGTAGATATTAATAAATTACGTGTACTAAGTTTTAGAAATAATCATTAATACTGAATTTCAAGTTTTTCAAATTTCAAGGTTTTTAGTAAACAACAATATAATATATTCGATTTAATAATGTTTTCTCCAAGAAAATATTGGTTTTATCTATTGTATCACAAAATTCTTATCAGGGCCCTTTACTCTTTAATTGATTTATGAATGATATCGTTGAAATCTTCCTACTCGGTTCTTATTTTATGCTGACGATTTATAAATATTTCAACGAATAAAAAATCCTAGACGCCGGCGACTTTCGAATGGCAAATCTCCGACGCAGTTTGTTTCCTCACTTAGAAAAATCGTGCATACGCGGAGACCAACCTTTGCCTCAATTTGTCAACTATCATTAGACATTTGTTAATGTACACACATATTCAAAGCGTTTCGATCGTTGAAAATCGTCAGGTGATTTAAACATCAGGCAAAATATAAAAAGCGACGTAATCGGGGAGACAAGGATTCGCGATCGTTAATTTCGGAGTGAGTCTCGGCTCGTCGTCTCGCCCGTTTCCGACTCGGGAGAGGAATTTCGGCGAGAAAAAAATAGGACACGGTTGAGAAACGTGCCAATAATTTCCGGCTCGCATCGACCGCGATCGCGCTGGATCCCGGGGGTGAGGCGAACATTACGCCGCGAATACTCGTAAAATGTCGCGCGCCTGCTTCTGTTACTGCCGCGGTAGGCAATAAAATAGCAGTACTACAGGCTGGGACGTTATACACGTTATTACGACGCGGGAGTTTCTCGTGTATTTATTTCGAGATCGTGATAGCCCGGCGCGCTGTGCGCGCCGCCGAAACGAGACTTACGCGCAGCGCAAATCGAGAGGCAAACCATCCCCCGATAGCAAATATAATCGCAATCGCAGTTTCTCCATTAAAAACACGAAACTGGCATGTTTCCCGTCTACGTCGTACGCACGATGGCACGACTGATGTGTTGATTTAAATGCAATGGAAGGGGGACATCCCGTGTATTGAAAGCGTCACTTAAAGCAGGGGGTTTTATGTGAAATTAATCCTACTTTCTAGTCCCCGATCAGTTATAAATTTTGAGTGATTAATTTTCAATGAAATCAAGCTGCGATTTATCCTTTATTGAAATCAATATTAGAAAATGCGGAGACCGTATAGATACTTATTTAAATATACACCGCTACGAAATTTCATCTTTCCGAAGAGGAAATCGATGATAGGAAGAACACAGAAACACGCTAAGTGGGTGGCCTTTCGGATCGTATGGCCCAATCGATCGATTCCCCGATATCGTATTCGAAATATTCGACAGCTCGAATATTTCGAACACGAACGTAAAAAAATAACCTACACGCATGTATCTCACCTGGAATAAATAAAATACAAACGAAGAAATATATACGAGGGTGCGTCAAATGTAAACGAGCGTTTTGCAACAAAACCACATATTTTTCAAAATCAATTCTAATTTACATTTTTCTTATTTTTCTATATAGTCCCCCATCTTATCTAGATACTTCCTCCAACGGTCATTTTTTAATCCCGGTATCGTAAGAAGTTCGCGGACGTGTATCAAACCAATTGCACACGAGCTGCTGCACTTCCTTGTTCGTTGTGAAGCGTTGTCCACGAAGGGCTTCCTTGAGTGGCCTAAACATATGGAAGTCGCATGGTGACAAGTCTGGTCTGTAGGGTGGATGTTCTAGGACAGCCCAGTGCATATCGGCCAATTTTTGTTGTGTTACTGCTGCGGTGTGGGGTCTGGCGTTGTCATGGAGAAGCAATACACTTCTGATAGGAATGCCGTGCCTTTTTGACCTTTTTGAGGCAGCTCGAACTTGGTAAGAAGATCACAATAATATGCAGCATTAATAGTCCGATGTTCTTGAAGAAAGCCGACCAGCAGAACGCCTTTACAGTCCCAGAACACTGTGACCAAGACCTTCCCTGCAGACAACTGCGTCTTCGCAATGTTTTCAACACGCTCCCGTCCTTTCTTAAATTCGTTACACCACTGCTTCACCCGAGCCCATGAAAGGGTTCTTTCCCCGAACTGTGGGAGTAAACGGCGCCGAATTTCAGCAGCATTTACATTTTCATTGACGAGAAACTTAATAATAACACGTTGTGCAACTGCGAGGTGTACCACTTTCTCGCTCATCCTGATTGCTGCTGAGAGTAAGAAGCACGTGGCGCGCCAACATTATTACTGCCTTCCACATGACCCCCCTTCATCGTCCAAAACGTTGCAGACCCCTCACGTCACCGACGGACGCGCAATTTAAAAAGACGCGTTTATATTTGATCCAACCTCGTATATATATATACACACACAGTGGCACTGCGGCTTTGTTCGTTCCGGTACGCCATGCACGGATCTTGTTTATGTCATATACGCTTTCGCTTCTGATATCGCCTATATTTGTCAAAGCGCCAGCCAGAATGGAGAAGCGCGCGGCACGTACTTCCACACGCGCCGAGTCACGCTAAAAGAGCCACTACCACACTACTCGGCGGGCTTCCCCTTTTGTTTCGCAGATCAATCCGCATCTTTGGACACATGTCCGTCCGTGTAAGAGTGGCACGATGGCGTGGATTTAACCGTAGCGATGCGCACCGACATCCTCATAATCCGTGCGCCGCCCCGCAATCTCCGACAAGAGAAGTCAAAATGCGTTTCCGTTGACGAAAAGTTTCGAACGATCTTATCGTGTAAGTCGTAAAATTCGCAAAATTTAGGTCTCAATGTGAGATTATACAGAGTGATTTAGAACAAGTGTAAAACATTTTAACAGATTATTCGGAAAGACATTCTGAGTCATCTCAAAATCACCTTCTGACAAAAGTGTCATATAAACATAGGTTCTATTCTCAATATTTATATAGTTATAAAAGCTTTAAAGTTGCATATTTTGGACGTTTCTTATGAAACTGAGCTGTAAATAAATTCAGTTTAATTAATGATATTTCGTATTCTTCGATTTTGTTTTAATTTCCCAAAGGTCATTTCGTATCAAACGTGCGATTTTACTATGATAACAGCAAAATTTTTAACTAAAAATTCTGTAACAATATAAATATGGAAAATAGGACCAATAGTTATATGATATATTTTGCCCAGAATAACTTTCCAAACAATCTGACAAAGTTTTTTTACACTCGTTCTGAATCACCGTGTATATAGAGAATTATACAAGAGACGGTGCTTATCTCTAAATTTTAAAATCTATCCGACTTAATTAATGTTTATGTGACATCTGCTATTCTGCAACGAGCCCATCTTTCTTTCCTAAATCCCCTTTTATATTATATTTTTATGTTATATATAAACTATGTAAAAATGTATGTACGTGAGAAATATATGTTTTCGAGATTTAATGGCATCGCGTAGTGGAAAGCGTTTACAACGCGTCAAATGGAAAGGACATTTATTTGTGAGGTTTATTGACCACGTCCAAATTACCATTGTAACAACTCGCTAACCACGTAGCGGGTATAGTATAATATGCGTCATAATTTTATTAATTTCCCGGGAAACACAGACGGATATTAGCAGATTCATAATTTTAATCATACGTTATATATCTGATTATATAGCCGATTAAAACTTTCATATCAGATGATACGAAGCGGGAATAATTAGCGCCCCCGATAACAAGGGACTGCATCAAACTAGCGTTGATTATTATTTAGAAGCTACAATATTCCAGCAACGGAACGCGAATTACCGAGCTAAATGCACTCGTCTCTGCGCAATATAGCGATCCGGTATTATACAAATGTCATTCTATTAGAAGGAAAAATTAATCTTTACTTTAATTAATATATAAACTTTTTACCATTAAACCGTATGTATGTGTGCATATGTGTATGTGTGTTTTTGTTTATCAATGATGTTTAGTATGATGATTGTGCCAAGAATTATACGATTCGAAACAATTTGTGTTCTCGCATATTTCTTTAACATCCATTCTCATAACACGAAAATTTGTCTCATTCATATTCATATCGTGATTTGCAATCTTCTGATAACGATTTGTCATAACATTTAACTCTCCACTGCATATCTTTGTACATTTATGTTGTTCTTCTTTGCGTGTTTTATTGTGTAATTCTTCGTTGATCTTCATTCCACTTGTAAATTGTAGATTTACGGCATCTTGCACAACGACATCCTTAAAATCAATATTTCATTTAAAACAATAGATATTGTATCCATAGACACATAACGATATATAGCTCGTTATTTCTAGCAGAATTTGAACAGTTGCGACGAAGCATCTATCGGTGCGACAAAGATCTAACGGTGTGGCGATAGAAATATTGCGTTGGCATCTCTTACCGTTTTATTGGCGTTTCTTTTTTCACTAGTGTCCATGCACATTATGGCTGTTTTTGGGATATTACTGAAAAATATTATGGACCCTTTGGATGCCATGGGACCAGTCTGACCTGATAACGTAGTCACTAATTGATCATTAGACTTCTTAAAACCGGAACAACTCTTTAGCTTGTATCCATCCATCTTAAATATTGCATTCCCCGCCAAAGGAGAGTAGTATAAATCGGAATTGTGATTGTGATGACCTAAAAGATAAAAAGATAAAACCTAAAGATAACCGTGACAGAGTCATCAACATTAACTTCGCGAATATCAAAGAAGAATTTCCTGTTGTTCGAAGAGAAGCTTTAGCAACGTACTGTAAATCGACGTGAAAAATATATCGATAATAAAGCAATAAGAATACTACATAAATTCACAAGTCTAAAATTATAGACTTAAAATTCGCGCCATTCGTCGCGTACAATTTAATAAAGTGTACGTTCCGATATTCACTGCCAATATTCGGAAAATCTATAGTACATGTAATATAAACTACAGATTTTCAGTCCGGCAATGCATATTGAAACGCAGCCTATAAGTTTGCACAACAGTAATTCAAAAGCGAAAGAAATTTTCCTTCATCGATTGCATATAATTACGTACATTCAGACATATATGTCATGCCAAGAATACCGTCATTCAAGTAAAAACTTTCATCATCTATGGTAAACTCAGGTTCGGTCGGTTTCATGTCTTCGGACTCGACTCTACAGATATTCGACATTTCCCAGCTTTTTAACTGGATTGTCAATAAACCGAAACTTCCTGTATCAGCTAAAGATACCTGAGTTGCGATGTGATTAGTATAAATTCATGATCACACATTAACTCACCCTAATTAAAATGCGTTATACGATATCCGAAAGAGAGAGTACTAACCATCGCGTCCGATATTTTATAACAATTCTTAACTTTAACGGTAGGTGTCGTTAACAAACTGTCGTTTTTAGAAACGTATTCTTCGGGAATTTCTATTTTTTTAACCAGGGAATCAGACTTCAAATTAAAGATCAACAGCTGCGGGGGACACACCGTTGTTAATCCGGAGGCATCAAGCTCACTTTTACCGCAATCCAGGACGAAGATGTAGTTGCATTTGATCTGAGGGAAAAATAGAAACGCGACATTCATAATCGGCGTGATGCAAATAAGCACATACCGTTCGTCATTTGAACGCAATTTCTAAATGTAAGACTACTGCTAATGTAACGAGAAACATTGGTACTTATATAGAAAAAGAACTTACGTAAAACGAAAGACAAATCGTTTTCAACAATACCTAAATAAGCCATCGAACTATCGGTACAACAGGGAAACGAGTGAACGACGAAAGCGTTTTCACCTAACATTCTTACGTACTCTGTCAACTCGCGAAACGTTCCAATCCATACTCAGTCAATTAACAGTCAACAACTGAACAGTCAACAACTAAAGAGGAGGGTAAAGATTGAAACATTGTACGGACAGAATACAAAAAAAATATTATGCACAATGAGAGAAAAAATTGTTAATTTCACTAAGAATTATGGTCATTTTCGGCGTTAATTGTATCTTTTCATTGTTCTAACAGAAAAGCAATAGTAGCAATATGCATATAAAATTATTATCAATTATGCTATAACAGTGCTTGCTACAAAAAGTAGGTTTTCTTATTAGAATTATTCCATTATAAAATTATAGTTACGAATAGTAATCATTTTTTCTCAATATAAGAATGTCCGCACCCGTCTCGTATCGAATGGTACACGATGGTTTGCGCTTGGTACTTACATACACCCTAAAGACACTTATGATGTGGTTTTCTAAGCAATTTGTCGTCTGGTACCAAGACCAGTCAGGATAAGGACGCAGAAGCGGACCACCCTCTCCGGTCTGGTCAGTTACCGTCATCAAGCTGGCCGGCACACCCTTGCCCCTCACCGCAGTAACAAAATACCTACCATCTACAAAAATATCCTTTGTATAAACGAAATGAACTGTCACGATATACCCAAATCGCGAATGCGCTTTCATGGCTAATGTTTAGTAATATTAAGACACAACGAAACGTAGACCGTAGTGACTTTTACTTCAGCAATAGACTCTTTTTCGTACAGACATTCGTATTTCTTAAATTATCGTCAAACCGTCAAACAGTATCAGCCTACCTGGTGCCTTGTCTACGTCGTATAAAGCACACTCCATAGGATCATAGTAACTTGAGTTTTCCATTTGCTCCTTCTGCGACGGATCCCAAGTAAAATTAACGTATTTCCATTCATACAGGGTTTTTAAATGTATTCCGTAACTCATAGTAACTATTGCGGAAAGAATCCAAATGATGAGCAGCTTCATTTTTCAGCATTAAAAATAACAATTCGAATTGCTGGTAGTAACGTGATAAAGTAACGTATATCTCGCAAACACTAACGAAATGACTCCGCTCGAATCATGCCGGTCAGTATTTACGGTGAGTTTCTCAAGGTTGAACTAATCTTGAAAAAACAGACATTATACATTATAATGCCGATAACTATTGCCGATAACAGTTACGGACTCTTTATCGTTCTGCTATTGTTAGACAACCGCATGTCACAATGTGCCGCAGTTATGCGCAGTTTCGCGTTATCATATTTGTTTTCCTAACACGGGAAATAAAATGCATATTTTGAGACCGGCATTAATCATTTTCCTTGTATCCACGTTTACAATTGTAACGAAAATGACACACAGTGACGCGACGCCGCTTGCGCGAATACCGTTTTGCATAAATGTTCCAATCGTTGATCGAGTCAATTAACGGCCATTACCGATAATTGGACGAAATTCAGCAAAATAAATACTGAAATATCAAAATTTTGCCGACAGTGTAATTACCATAAGCAACACATGTGTAAATAGAAATATCACGAGAAAACGAATGCCAGATCGAATCGATGATTAACTCGTACAATTGCCATCGTATACATATGTAAATATGCACATACATGCATACGCACAAATACATGCTCATGTTGGCCGAGAAATAATTTATTGCGCACTACAACAACGCGGAAAAATTCTTGCGCTGCACTGAATTTAAACGGTAGTTCAAATCCAACGGTAATGCAAACCAATAAAAAAGGGGTTGAGGAGAAAAGGAAAAGAGGGGAAAAAACGTTTGCAGCGGTACTGCGCTACCAACCCCATCGATTTCTTTATTGCCTTCTACATTTCCTTCCGGTTTCTGATCGTGGCATTGGAAATTGCAAGTTCGTCTATTGTCGCCGACGGCGCGCGTCTACAAAAAAAAAAGAACAAGCCGAGGAAAGGATTGGGGAATCGCAATAAACCCGAAGGAGAGAATCGAGCGGCGGCGGTGGCCGTCGCTGCCACGCCGTATTCTCTTTCGCGACGAAGTCGAGCGAAAGGACTTCCTCGTTAGAGCTTTTCTACGGGTTTTGTTTCCCCAGTCGCGAAAGACAAGAAACTTCTGTCCCAGAGGCGGGGGGATGATCTTTAATGAACTAAAAGCGCATTTGTCCCGGTATCTCGCTGTGCGAAGGGCGCTCTCCCCGACGAAAAGAAAAGGAAAGAGAAGGGAAAAAAAGTGAGGAAGAGAAGAGAAGAAGGAGAGCATCCCATCTGCGCGTTAGAAATTCTCAAAGCGGCAATGAAATGCAATGTGATTTTTGGACGTTCGCGCGCGCATGCACCACCTTTGCACGTGGTATTTCGGTTCGACATTTTTCGCGCTCGCCATGTGGCCTCAAACAGTGGCATTTGCTTTACAGCACCCAGAACGCGTAACGCCATAGCACAATAGGGAATAATTTCAGCCAGAAACGTAGTCTCTTTCGGAACAGTTGCGTCGCGCTGCGCAAATTGTATTCTTGCAAATTCATTGCTCGGGGTCTGAATATTCAAGAGAAGATAAGACATCGCGCTTTTACGCATCATCGTATTAGAAAGTTTACTCATCTCTCAAAATAAGGTGTTCCCCCTTCTCTTTGCTTTACGTTTCGGAGAAATTGCACGTAATTCCAGTTGAGAAATTAAAGATATCGCGAATTTCCATTTTTGCATTCTTAATTGTTCGCTATCGCGCGGCGTGCTGTCGCGTTAAAGTTTCTCGGAACATTGGGAATAATTAAATCATCGTTGCGCACTTTACCCGCAAGATACAAGCTTTATATAACATATACAAGAACGAGAGGGAACGCTGAGCGGAAACGCGCCGCCCCGGGATAATATCCTCCGAGACACGGAAATAATATCAAAATTAAGCCCGCGAGCGAGTGAGAATCCCAACCCGCAATTCGACGGTGCCATTGGGGATCGCGCGATCTCGATGAAAATTTCAGTTCCGCCGCTTCCAAGAGCGGACCAAATACCGCTTAGCTCGCGAGTAAGCGGTGATTTTTATTCGCTGCAACGTATATCACAGAGCCGTGCCCGGGCTCGCTCGCTGTTCCGCCAGCGCGAGAAGGGCAAAATGCTTCGACGCCGGCAGGAAGGTTCGTGTTTCTACACATCCCTGGGGTGTGTTTCCGGCGTACGAGGGGTGCAGATACGTTTAGACACGGACGAGAGGAAGCGCCGCGCCACGCCGTTCTCTCGGCGAGTCCACCGGTGCGGCATCCCGATGGAAACTTTCTCGTACCCTCGCGATGCGTTATTGTGAAGATCGTGCAGGTGCGGCTGAGCTCCCGTTAATCATCTCTGAGCGACTTGATCCTCGCATCAGATTACTCCTTGTCGTACAGTTTACTCAGCGCGGGGCAATAATAAATGGGGAATTAATTTTAATTCGAACTCGAGACAGCTGCTTCCGTGTTTGTATATATATAATCGTATGTATGTATAATCGTGTAACCCATTTATCTTTCTCGCTTTCTCTCTCCCGCCTTTTCTCCGTTTAGACCGGCAAAAAGTAGCGACCGATTGCATTCGCTCGGAGAATTCGATAAGTCGCGGTACCAAAAGCGCAGATACCGTAATGTCCCGGGAATATAATCCCAAGATATTCTCAGTAATATTTTTCTTTGTTTACCCAAGTTTTCGCGTGGTATAGAGTTACGTAATACCGTTACACAGTATTTGGTATGCTAAATGATAGCCACGTGTCCTATCTACGTGAATTTTCTCATTAAGTGTATATCCGCGAAAAAAATTAAACTTGCAAAAGCTACCATTTAGTCGTAAATGTAAATGCGTCAGTGGAAAAGTCAACGGAAAAACACGCGAGATATCGAACCATATCCGGCGGGGAGCTTATTTTCATACATGGCAACGTTCAGATTCGCGCGTACACTTATTTGCTCCCTTTTATTTCAATTTGATTCTAAAAGGGAACCCTTTATTTTAATTTGATTCTAAAGGGGAAGAAACACAGTAAAATCTCTCGACCAAGTGACGGAAGAAACGGAGAAGAAGAACCGCTCGCGAACGAACTAGGATCTTGAAAATCGAGAAAGGAAATATATGATATATATATATACATAGCCTTTTTATACATATACATACATAACTTCTATATGTACATATACGCACACACAGCTTTTACATATATATATGTGTGTGTGTATATATATATAACCTAGCGTTCGTTCTCGATGCAGTTGAGAAAGGGCGCGAAAGACGATGAGGCGAACGAGCAAGGAATAAGGAGGGAGGATAGCGGGCGATGCACCGAGGTTAGAGTCGGCTATTATGTAAATTTTAATGCAATACTGGGGCTCGGCTGCTCTGCACTCCTTGTAACTGCCTTACATCCGCCATTCTGCGGGCCGCTCTTCGCGGAACACTTATAAAATTATACCAGCCGGCTTGTTTTTCCCCCTCGCCGACCCTTCCCCTGGGGCTTTCGGCCTTTTAGGGAAATCACTCGGGATACATGCAATTCGCACGCATTTCGCCGCTGCCATAGTTATCCGCGAGAAATGATGACGGCGGGAAAGTCGCGCCGTTAATGCGTTGAAACGCCCGCATACGCCGCGATCTTTTCCTGTCCCCGTCTGTTACTTCTGAGTGAGGAACGCGAGAACAAGATTTCCAAATCGCATACGAATATATCTGGTGAGGGCAATGAGATTCTCTTCCAGACTGCGACTTATCGCTTATCGAATTTCCAAAGCCAATTTCTCTTTCTCCCTCCCTTTCTCTCCCTCCTCTCTCTCTCTCTCTCTCTTGCTCGTCAACTCACGCTATTTCGATTCTAACGAAAAATATCCCACCCTAAGAATAAGCGCGTTGCATAACAGCCGGGAGCGAGCAAACGGAAGAAGAGACTGCATACATACGCACAGATATCGATGCTACGGTGAAATTGAGCGTTTGAGAAAGAGCGAGCGCCCAAAAATAACTAAAATGATTCGTTCGCCGCTTAAAGATCGAGTTCCGATATATTATACATGCTTCGCCAATTTCGAGAACAGCAGCCCAGCCGCTCGCAATATTCGCAACTTTACGGCAACGTTGCACGCCCGGATTCGCTGTAGATGCGGTAGTTCGCGTTCGACTTCGTTGTCGACGACGACAGGCTGTACACGCGCGGTGTTCAACTTCCCTTTTTGAGCTATTGGCTGTTTTAGCCTCGTGATATTGAAATATCGGACACGATTCCGCCGCGATGGTGAATTACGAGCGCCGTACGACGACAGCACGATACACAGCGAACTATCCGCCGCATTTTGACAATTTCGCCGGCACGCGACGCCGGATCATCCCACCATCCCGATGACGCAATTTGTCGGTCGACGATATATAAACGCGCGCGTATGGATTTGCCACGATGCGCTCGTGCGGATGTTGCGACGTGCATCATCCGACGATAAAATCGCAGTTGATTGAAAATACGCCAACTTGTCTCTCTCCCTCTCTCTCTCTCTTACACTGTCTCTTTCTCTCGCTGGATAGTCGAGTTAAGATACCGTGGCGACGCTCGTTAAAAGTTTTTTCCTACAAATGACGGAAGTTCAGGATTATACGCCCCTTTTTGCCCCTTTTTGCCCCTTTTCGCCACCTATTGCGACCCGGTGATATAACCGCTCCCCGGGATATTAAAGGGAATCGACTTCCACTTCCCCGGAAAGTGCATCGCCATTGGAGCGGTATAATCTTTCCTCTAACCCGCAACTCATTGTTGCTGATCGATCGCCCCCGTGTGAGTTTCCTTAACCCCTCGCGTGCGTTTCGGATACGTCGACTACACGGGGGTGAATCAAAAAAGAAAGAAGGAAAGAAAACAAAAAAGGCCGAAGCTTGGTAGCGCGTTCTCCCGAGAAAAATATATAAAATCGATAGCGACATAATTAATATCCCCAGACAAATGGGACAATCGACTTGCGCGTACGAGTTAATATAAAACCGTGGTGGTCTTTCGAGGGTTTTCGAGAATCGGGAAAAAAATTTCGAATATAGTTAAACGGGGAATAGGTT